TTTTAAGCATTATGTGCCTCAGCCAAAAACCTATTGTAACTTCTTTTCTCTTGCCTTTCTATCAGGTCGCCGATGCACAGCAGAAACAAATGGAACACGAGAAAACAGTGCTCCAGCAGACATTCCTGACAGAGAAGGAAATGCTGTTGAAGAAGGAGAAACTAATTGAAGATGAGAAAAAGAAGCTGGAGAGCCAGTTTGAATTAGAGGTTAAAAAGGCCAAGGCCCTCCAGGATGAACAGGAGCGCCAGAGACAGCAGATGGAGGAGGAGAAGAAAAAACTCCAGGCTACCATGAATGCAGCCCTAAATAAGCAGAAAGAGGCTGAGAAAGAGATGCTTAACAAGCAGAAAGAAATGCAGGAGCTGGAAAACCAGAGACTAGAACAGGAAAGGATTCTTGCAGAGGAAAACCAGAAATTGCGTGAGAAGCTGCAGCAGATTGAAAAAGCACAGAAAGAGCAACTCACCAAAAAAACTGTAACAATAGTTGAGACAGTAAATACATTTTACAATGGCAAAAATGGCAGCGATGCGGTAGACAGTGTAGAAAAGAGAGTAGATCCATTGGCTTTTGATGGCATTCGTGATATGGTACCTGCAAGCAGACTTCATGACATTGGTCTTTTACCCAAAAAGGACTTTGACAACCTGAAAAATGGCAAAACCACTGCTCATGAACTTGGTGAAACCGAAAATCTTAAAAGAATTCTTAAAGGAAAGAATTGCATTGCAGGTGTTTTGACTCCATCTAAGCAAAAAATGTCTATCTATCTAGCATCAGAAGAGAAGAAGATTACTCCGGGCACAGCATTGATCCTTCTTGAAGCACAAGCTGCCACAGGTTATATTGTAGACCCTATCAAAAATCAGAAACTTTCTGTTAATGATGCTGTTAAGGAAGGTTTGATTGGCCCAGAACTGCACAACAAAATGCTTTCAGCTGAGAGGGCTGTTGTTGGCTACAAAGATCCATATACTGGTGGGAAGATCTCTGTCTTTGAAGCTATGAAGAAGGGTCTTATGGAGCATGATCATGCCATCAGAGTCCTTGAGGCCCAGCTTGCAACTGGTGGCATCGTTGACCCTATCAATAGTCACCGTGTACCAAATGAAACAGCCTATAAGCAGGGACAATATGATGCAGAAATGAATAAGGTTATGGAAAATCCCTCAGAGGATAAAAAGGGATTCTTTGACCCCAGCACACAGGAACCTTTGACGTATTCTGAGCTAATGGAGAGATGCGTCACTGACCCCGACACAGGTCTGTTACTCCTGCCAATCACAGACAAAGCTGCTCAGTGCTCAAGTATATACACAGAGGAGGAAACCAAGGATGTGTTCAGCAAAACAACTGTGTCTGTGCCATTTGGAAAATTCAAGGGAAAGACTGTCACCATTTGGGAAATAATAAACTCTGAGTACTTCACTGAGGACCAGAAGAAGGATCTTCTCCGTCAATACAAGACGGGCAAAATCACAATTGAAAAGATCATTAAGATTGTGATTACAGTTGCAGAGGAGAAGGAGAAGAAGAAGGAAATTACTTTTGATGGTCTGAGAGCACCTGTCCCTGCCACGGAGCTCCTGGAATCCAAAATCATTGATAAAGACCTGTTCAACAAATTAAACAAGGGCAAAAAGACAGTCAAAGAGGTGTCTGAAATGGAGCCTGTCCAAAAAGCATTGAAAGGTACAAATTGCATTGCAGGAGTAGTTATTGACTCATCCAAAGAGACAATGTCCTTCTATCAAGCCATGAAAAACGATATAATGAGGCCAGGGCCTGCCTTGATTATGCTTGAAGCCCAAGCAGGAACAGGCTATGTGGTTGACCCTGTACAGAATCAGAAGTACACAGTTGATGAAGCGGTCAAAGCAGGTGTTGTTGGTCCTGAGCTGCATGAAAAGCTCCTGTCTGCAGAGAGAGCAGTTACAGGTTTCAAAGATCCTTACACTGGAAAAACTGTATCTCTCTATCAAGCAATGAAAAAGGATCTCATACCTAAAGAACAAGGAATCCGACTGCTCGATGCCCAAATGACCACCGGCGGCATCATTGATCCAGTAAAAAGCCACCGCATTTCACATGATGTTGCCTGTAAGAGAAATTATTTTGATGATGAAATGAAACAGGTTTTGAGCAGTCCCACTGAGGAAACTAAACACTTCTTTGACCCTAACACAAAAGAAAATGTCACATACTCAGAGCTCTTCAAGAGATGTGTCCCTGACAAGAAAACTGGTCTCCGGCTTCTTCCTCTTTCTGATGAAGCCATCAATGCAAAGGAGGAGCCATCATACACAGAAGCTCAGACAAAAGAGGCCATGACTCAGGCAACTGTTGAGCTTGATTCTGGACCATTTAAAGGCAGAAAGATGACCATCTGGGAAATCATCAACTCTGAATATCTCACTGAGGAACAAAGGCTTGACCTCCTCAGACAGTTTAGGTCTGGAAAGCTTACAATTGAAAAGATCATCACAATTGTAATCACAATTGTGGATGACAAAGAGGCCAAAAAACAAGAAAAGTCAAGCTTCAAGGGACTCAGAGCCCCTGTCCCAGCAAGCTCTCTGTATGATTCCAAAATCATTGACAAACCAACCTTTGAGCTCCTTCAACAAGGCAAAACAACACCTAAACAAGTCAGTGAGAAGAATCCTGATATCAATAAATACCTCAAGGGATCTGATAGCATTGCTGGAATCTACCTTGAGCCAACAAAAGAGAAAATTAGCATTTATCAGGCTATGAAGAAAAAGCTCCTCAGACATAACACAGGGCTTTCACTGCTTGAGGCCCAAGCTGCAACTGGGTTCATTGTAGATCCAGTGAGGAACCAGTGTCTGTCAGTAGATGAGGCAGTGAAGTCTGGCCTTGTTGGTCCAGAGCTACATGAAAAACTCCTCTCTGCAGAAAAAGCTGTCACTGGCTATAAAGATCCATTCACAGATGGCAAAATTTCCCTCTTTGAAGCAATGCAGAAAGATCTCATCCTAAAAGAGCACGCCATGCCACTGTTGGAGGCACAAATGGTTAGCGGAGGAATCATTGACCCTGTAAATAGCCATCGTGTCCCAGATGAGGTTGCATATCAGAAGAACATTTTTGACAAAGAAGTTGCTAAGACCCTATCTGAACCATCTGATGATAATAAGGCTTTCTCAGACCCAGAAAGTGACGAGAATGTAACCTATAGACAGCTTAAAAACAAATGTCAAAGAGATCCCGAGACAGGCCTGTACATCCTCCCACTCTCCAAACCTCAGATTCCAACTGTTGTGGAGAAGACATATCTCTACACGGAGGAACAAACAGAGAGTGACCTGACCAGCACCCAGATTGATATTCCAATTGAGGGCCTTGCTGATAAACCATTGAACCTCTGGGATGTCATGAATTCAAATCTGATTCCAGAATCAGAGAGGCAGAAACTTATGGATGAATATCGCTCTGGACAAATCACTAAAGAGAGGATGATCATCATTATAATTGAGATAATGGAGCAGAGAGAGATCATTCGAAATGACAATCCACTGTCATATAAGATTTTAAGAAGAATAATAACTATTGAGGAGCTCTACAATGCTCGCATCATTGACTTGGAGACATATAACCTTCTTAAACAGGGCAAGAGGAATATCCGCGACATAATGGAGATGACCAGTGTGAAACAGTATCTCTATGGCACAGGCTGTGTTGCTGGGGTCACAACTGACTCAAGTTCCAAGATAAGCATATACCAAGCAATGAAGAGAGGTTTTCTTAAACCAGAAGTAGCCATGAGCCTCCTGGAAGCACAAGCTGCGACAGGATTCCTTGTTGATCCAATAAAGAATGAGACACTCACTGTTGATGAAGCTGTTCGCAAAGGTGTTGTTGGACCTGAGATCCATGATAAACTTCTGTCAGCAGAAAGAGCGGTCACAGGATACAAAGATCCATACAGTGGGAAAATCATATCTCTTTTCCAGGCCATGAAGAAGGATCTTGTTCCAGAGGATTATGCTCTGAAAATGTTAGAGGCACAAACGACCACTGGTGGTATTATTGATCCTGAATTCCAGTTCCATCTGCCAGCAGACATTGCCATACAAAGAGGATATATCAACAAGGAAACCAATGAAAGACTGGCTAGCGAAGTTAAAGGTTTTGTTGACCCCGTCACAGATGAGAAAATAACATATGCACAGCTGCTCAAGAGATGCAAGTTAGATGGTGGATTGCGCCTCCTCTCTCTGGGAGACAAGAGGCTGACATTCAAAGGTCTCAGGAAACAAATCACAATGGAGGAGCTGATCAGCTCACAAATTATCGATCAGCAGACTGTCACCCAACTGAATGAAGGACTTATTTCAGTGGAGGAGGTGAGTGAGAGGCTGTCAAGGTACCTTGAAGGCACAAGCTGTATTGCTGGTGTGTTTTTGGAGTCCACAAAGGAACGTCTATCAATTTACCAGGCCATGAAGAAGAACATGATTAGGCCAGGCACTGCATTTGAGCTCCTTGAGGCACAGGCAGCCACAGCCTATGTCATTGATCCAATCAGAAATCTCAAACTGACTGTCAATGAAGCAGTGAGAATGGGAATTGTAGGTCCAGAATTCAAAGACAAGCTTCTCTCTGCAGAGCGTGCAGTGACTGGATATAGAGATCCTTATTCGGGCAAGACAATCTCCCTGTTTCAGGCCATGAAAAAGGGGCTCATCCTGAAAGATCATGGTATCCGTCTCCTGGAAGCCCAGATTGCCACAGGTGGAATCATTGACCCAGAGGAAAGTCACAGACTGCCAGTCGAGGTGGCCTACAAACGTGGGTTCTTTGATGAGGAAATGAACGAGATCCTGACAGATCCATCCGATGATACCAAAGGTTTCTTTGATCCCAACACTGAGGAAAACCTAACCTACCTCCAGCTCATGGAGAGGTGCATTACTGATCCTGACACTGGCCTGTCACTCCTACTATTGAAAGACAAGAAGCGGGAAAGGAAGACCTCCTCCAAATCCTCAGTTCGTAAACGCAGAGTGGTCATTGTAGATCCAGAGACAGGCAAAGAAATGACTGTGTATGAGGCCTACAGGAAGGGACTCATTGACCATCAAACCTACTTGGAGCTTGCTGAGCAAGAGTGTGAATGGGAAGAGATCACAATGACTTCCTCTGATGGTACTGTCAAATCCATTATCATTGACAGGAGGTCAGGGAGACAGTATGATGTTGACGATGCTCTTTCACGTGGTCTCATTGACCAGAAGGCTCTTGATACATACCGAGCTGGAAATCTGGCCATCACAGAATTTGCTGACATGCTTTCTGGAAATACGGGCGGCTTCCGTTCACGATCATCCTCTTTTGGTTCCACCACTGGTTCCACCTTCTCCTCTTCCATGAGCCCCATACCCTCCATTAAAGCACCTGCAGTCATATGGAATGACCCAGCAGAGGAGACTGGCCCCATAGCCGGTATCTTAGACATAGACACGCTGGAGAAAGTGTCTGTCACAGAGGCAATACACAGAAACCTGGTAGACAACATCACAGGCCAAAGATTGTTGGAGGCCCAGGCGTGCACAGGAGGAATAATTGATCCCACAAGTGGAGAAAGATTGTCAGTCACTGATGCTGCAGAAAAGGGTCTTGTGGATAAAATTGTTGTGGATCGCCTCAACCTGGCTCAAAAAGCATTCAATGGATTTGAAGACCCTAGAACTAAAGTTAAGATGTCTGCCTCCCAGGCTCTGAAGAAGGGCTGGTTATACTATGAAGCTGGCCAGCGTTTTCTTGAGATCCAATATCTAACTGGTGGACTTATTGAACCTGATGTTGAGGGCAGAGTGTCCCTTGATGAATCCATCAAGAAGGGCACAATTGATGCCCGCACTGCCCAGAAACTAAGAGATGTCGGTGCTTATTCTAAATACCTAACATGTCCAAAAACCAAACTGAAAATCTCCTTCAAAGATGCCATGGACAGAAGTATGGTTGAGGAAGGATCTAGCCTAAGGCTTCTGGAGGCTTCCTCACAATCCAGCAAAGGCCTGTACAGTCCTTACAATGTCAGTGGTTCTGGATCTGCATATGGTTCTCGGAGTGGCTCAAGGACCGGATCCCGATCTGGCTCGAGGAGAGGCAGTATTGATGCAGGCTCTGGCTTCAGCATGAACTTCTCCTCCTCCTCCTTCACATCCTCTTCGACTGGCTACAGCCGCAGATTCTGATTAGCTCCCTTTCTTTCTAACAACTAAAAACCAACAATACTAATGCACTTTAGGTTGCATTTCTCACAGGAAAAACATTGTTACAGTAACAAAGAAAATATAATTTATTTATTCTGCCCTGCATGTAGTCACTATTGGCTATTGATTCTTCAATTATAGCAGATGTCCAAACAAATGTCTCATATATGGAGACATAACCAAGCATCTTTAAATATATAAAATATGAATTTCCCTTAGTACTGATTACAAAAATCAGCTTATATTTTTTAGAAGCAAAGCATGACATTTTAGATGTTTTTAAGTGACTACAGTTTTAATTTTACGCATTAAAAAGTTGTATACTTGCTTTCTGAAACTAATATATAATGTTTGTATGTCAAACAGAAATATTTTTCCAGTATTCCTTGTAACCTTAAACATTCAAGAATATGTGTCTATTTTTTATCTTTCTGGACAATATAGTGTGAGATACTGTATGTCACCATAGTTTTTTAACAGATTCAAAAATATTTGGATGCCTTCAACTTTTTGAATGTCTGTATAGAGTATGGACAGATTTTGTGTTAATGTTTTTATGTGAAATGGTGTCTGGGTAACTGAATAAAATACCCAGTGAGAATACACATGTGAGACACTACAAGAATACAACACTGAAAAGAAGTAGCAGAATTAAGTTACACAGACCGCTAAAAATTAGTTTCACATCTGTCATTACTTTGTACTCATTTATATTCAGTCGACTTTTGCTTTTTTTAGTTCATCTTTCTTTTACACACTATAAGTTTTTGGATTCTTCATATTCACCATCAATCAAGTGTTCCTGATAAATCCCAAGATGGTGTCAGACTTGCTCCTGCTCTCCCATACAGACCTGCCTCCTGTTATTTTGGTTCTTGTAAGTTGAAATTTTCTTTTATTTATTATTTTTTCTTTCTGCTTCTTTCACTTCAGAGCCATTTCTGTGCGCCATCCCACACACAATAATGATACTAGCTATTTAAGTTCAAAATCCCAATATCCTAATTGACTGTTGTCCTCTTGTCTTTGACAGCTGCCTCAGTCCCTTAGACAACATCTGAGCACAGACACTCAGGTGGCCGGAGCATACAATCCCCTCAACTTGGATGGATTTGTGAGTCCAGATCATCCTCAAGCTGTAACACAGGTACAGTGTACATATGTTTGAGATAAAAACATATCATTTTTATTTCATTTAAAAAATCCAGATTAGTTTTTCCAAATTTTTGTTCAATTCCAATTTTTTCTTGCTGCATTGTTTTCTTTATTTTTATTTGAATTCATAGCTATTTCCTTTTTTGTTTCTAGATCTGCCATTGAGTTCATCCATTCTTTCCATTGCCCATCACATTTGAGGAAAGCTGAGGCTGAGTCAACCTGACATCATCTTGGGATGCCTTTTTAGGAACACACTTCATTCATGGCCCTTGTTCATGCATTTATTACTTCAATGCTAATTGTGACATTTATGTTGATAAATAAGCACATCTTCATTTCACCAGTCTTAAATCTGGGATTCTATATTCATTTTAGAAAAGGAATAATCAGAGAAATTTGGAGAATTGACACGTTTAACCCAACACCACATTTCATGAATGTATTTATCATATCAAATTAACAAACTGAAAAACAGCTTTAAGCTTCATTTTGCCTAAATGGATTTTTCTATATCAAGTATTTCTTTTCCCTTAAGTGTTTTGCCTCTGTAAATCATTTTACTTTGTTTTTGTCATGTTTTTTGATATGTTAAGAATTTGCTTTGCATGTTTAATAACTTTACCAGGATATTTGGGAAAATGTTGATGTAAAATAAAGACAACTGCAGATAGTAACTGTGCTGATTTTAATATAAGCGATATATAAAGTCACAAACTAACTGGTTGGTTTTGCTTATGGGGCAGATCTTTGCTTTGAATGATATAATGAGTGGATTCATTGTTCTGAACATAACACTGTTGTAAATAAATGTGCTCTGAAGAGGCCCTCTTGTCATCTATATATTGATACCATACATCAGAAGATATTTCTAATAGATTTTTTTTCAGAACTCCTGTTACATTGGATCACATTTCCAAATCAAATAAGCTACTTCACATGCTACTTCACATGCTGTATAATATATATAACACAAAGTAAATATAGCTTCACGACTTGTTCAAATGTGTGAATAAAGCTTCATGTGAATATTGTAAACAGGTTATAGTGGATGGGCAATAATTGGGTTTCCAATGTACTCATTCTTCACCACTGTATTGGCAGCAGATATCATTTTATTAATATTAATATTTAAATAATAGGAGAATCAGTCATTATTCCAAACCCTTAACTTGCCAATATTTGAATTCCCTCTGGAAAAAGAATTAGATGGCCACATGGGGGCAGCATTAGGCTAATCTGCACTCACTCCTCATGAAAGCAAGTGCATCAGGTGATACCACCCACTATAGATGTATCATATAATGAAACCATGTTTAATATAATGATTATGTATTTTTCAGATTAATGAGGGTGTGACTGAGTTGTTTTTTAAAGGGGTTAATCATAAAGGTTACCTAATTTAAAATGACATGTTTCAGTCTTTACTTCCAGAGCCTTCAAACTCTGTACACACTGTACATGTTTTTGCTCTATATACCAACATTAGCCACTAGGTTTATTGGAGGAGCCTTCCAACAGAAGAAACATGGCATTCACCTCCCAGAATTCATCACTCAGCTCACTTGACTTCTCAGATCTGAGCCTTAACGTCCCAGCTCTGCCCACACCTGAAGCCTCAGGTCAGGAGGTAAGAACAGAACTGAAAAAGCTCATCATTTTCCTCAGTACTGTGCAGTAATTAATTATTGAAGGAGTGTCAGCTCAACCTGCGAACAAGGAAAACACAACACCTGGTGTAAGGGTCATTTTGTATTTTTCTCTCATGGTCTCTCTCAGGATAAAGAAGGCTCTTCATTTGGATCAACAACACCTACATCACAAGATAAGAGATTTGGGTATGCCAATGTACAACACTCTTTGACATTGGTGCATGTATGTAACATGGTCCTTGAAAATGTGACAAATTTGAATATTTACACAAATTATATACTGGACGTTTTAGAAATAACATCAGATGCTCTGTATGATTCTTCACTTACTGTATAAGCAGTTTCAGAAAAGGCTATTAGTGAATCCTACATGATTGAAAGTGGCCACCAACAGTCAGAGTAAACAGAACACACAGCCTGTGACGACAGTTGGTGAACTGGACCTGCTAAGTAGACCGGTGCTTCCACATTTGTCAACAGCACAAAGACAGAATTGTGAAGCGAGGCACACAGTGTAAAACATCTAATTGAAACATACTTATACAAGAAAACTGAGGTTCCAGCCCAGCAGAGCAGCAGATGTCACTCTTGAGATATTTGGCAATGTTTTCAATTTAAGAGCTACAGTTGTACCGTATTTTGAGAAGAATAAAATAATTGTAAAGTTGCTGTTCTATCTGTTTTCTAAATGTCCTACTTCCTGTTAATGCTGTAAGGGATCATTCAAATTATTGACATAAAGATTACACATACATTCAGCTGCTGTTGCACAAATACAGTGTGGTCCAATTTGAATCCACAGTTTGTAATAATCCCCAACTCATCTCATAAAAATAAATGAATGATGGTGGATCTTGTACTTTCATGTACTTGTGCTGTGCTCCCGAAACAACACAAGAGTACCCAGGTACTGTAACAGCCCCCATGTATGCACACACAACCTAATCAGACAGCTAATAAACATGTAGTTATATGACAGACGGAAACATACCACCAATCAATCTCTATTTGAACCTAGGCTATTTGAATGTTGACATGCATTAGACATGGTTAGTTATGTGTTCTAACGTGTTGTATTCATTATAGATGGATGGATGTGGACGACATGAGCCAATGGCAGAGTGAGTTCAGGAATCAAATCCAAGCTCTGAGAGTGTGGCTGAGGAGCATGGAGATGAGGCTGCCTCCTCTGGACCCCAGGGTCAGTTCAATCTGTAGTCTGCCTCCCTGCTGTTGTCGCTAAATCTTTCTAACTCTGTCTCATCAACCTGTCTCCACATCCCATCTCCTCTCATGCAACATCCCGTGTCTGAGCTATTCTACATGAACAAGTGACAAGAAAGACCTGACAGCCATGCTAGCAGCTGTACATGTGGGCACAGTGGTTCCAAATTGTGAAGACAAATGTAGTGTAGTGTCTGAATAATTAGTACCCAACTGGAAAAATTCACATGAACGCCACCTGAAGTCAGAAATTGAAAAGCTGGCAAAACTTTTTGTACCAAGTTGCTGACGTCATCACTCATAAACTAAAAAAAATTACCTAATTTTCGTTCTGCTCTAATTATCTACTTGTCAATTTGTAAAATGTGACACTTTTGTCACCTGCAAACTCTATGTTCATCTCTCACAAGCACCTCACACCACTTTTTAGCGTTGGGGGATTAGCGTCCATTCGTTTAAATTTAACTATATGCCTCTCACACCTTTTTTCCTTTGCTTCTTTATTTTGTAAATATTGGAAACATGTCAAGGTGTTGTTTAAATGCTTTAAACACATAAATACACTATATTTTTACAGTGTCAATGTTTTTAACACATTCTGACTTCAGAGCATATGAACACACTAAAGTCAAAACGACTACGTGAACGAAATGGGACGTTCCGAGGAGCATGTGGATGCGCAGAAAAGTGAAACTAAGGCAGGTGGAGCTCTCAAACTGTAGGTTATAAACTGAAGTATTGGAAATCAATCTTGCCCCATGTTGGCTCAAGTGTCATTGTGGGGTAGAAGAATGAACACTCCAAATAAAGCCAGTGAGTTATGTCTAACCTCATTCATATAACCCATGGTCCCTCTCTTGAAGGACAAACATGACTTAAACACATGTTTCAGCGTCCATGTCCATGGATACAACATTCTTCTCCTATCCTCTTTTATTGTGTATGATCAGTGAAATTAATTGAGCATTAAGGGAAAAAAAAGAAAGGGATTGTGGAGGTTTTTCAGTGTCTGGCATTCTCAGACGGATACCAAGGTGGTCCTGCTCTGCTCCTGCAGGGAGACCTCTTTAGGCCACAGGGGGACAGAGGGGGCTGAGGGAATCAGGCTCTATTGTGCGTGGCGTGGACAGCCTGACTAGAGAAGTGCTTGGCAGCGGAGGCTCTCTGTGCACATGAGCGAGCACACTGAAAAGACATTAGACTCAGATGGTAGGAAGAGGCAAAGGGGACAGGGAAAAAAAGAATAGCAGGATCTTTACGGTAAGAGCACTCTGAACTGACTGCTGAGGCATTTATTGAACACAACTGTAGGTTTTATCACACAAACATTTATACCAATATTTATACAACAAGGAATAACAGCTGGAGTCAGTTTATTTGTGTTACTGGTTCAGTTCAGAAAAAGAAAACTAATGGTCATCAAGTCAGGCTGCATCAGCAAAACCTCCTATTACATTGAGTGAGGTTGTGTTTGAATGGCAGAAGAAGAACTTGTCTTATCTTTTTTTTAACGTCCCTTGTCTTTTTAAGTGTAATTGGCTATAAAACCTTTTCAGGATCCTCCCACAGCTTTAATTTAACCAGTTGGATTACATCTATCTCTCAATAGTTTCAATTTGCTGGTTAAATATTGCTCATTCAGTACCACTGTGTTTCATCTTGGCTGGTTTGTACTCAGTAGAGAGCATACCTCCTCCAATTAAGGTCAAACAGTCTCCTGATAACACATTTGAATTCACTAAATCCAGATTTCCACCAAATAACACACACATATAATATCAGTCCACTAAACATGCTTGTCATTTTTTGAGAAATTAGTGAAAATGTTGAAAAATCTCACCGAAGCTCTAATTTAATGGGTTCTCTCCCAACCCGTTCCACATCCTTTCACCAAGTTTCATGGTAAGCCGTCGCACTAACAAACAAAACACAGACATAACATTAACCACCTTGGCGGAAGTAAATTCAGCCTTTTTAATGTGGATCACTGTCATTGGGTTTAATCCATTGCACAGCACGAACTGAAAGCCGGTTTCACTCAAATCGTTAACATGATGCAGCTCTGTGACGAAGCAACGTGATGAGGTAATCATTTATTTAACTTAGCGAGGGGTGACTTCACCTTCTCCTATGAGCTGTAAATCAGCTACACAAAAGAGTTTGATGTTTTTACTGTTATAATAAAAATCAGTTGAAGCCTATATGGTCCATTAAAATGATCGTGGTCCATTGTTTGGGCCATTATAGATTGAAAGGGCCAGGAGACAAAGTATGATCTGTGTGTGAACCCATGTGACCTTTGAAGAAACTGCCGATTATCCTCTGAAGAACAGACATTTCAGATGCTCTTAGTTTAAAATTCTTTTGACATGTTTCGTCTGTGTTGGAAAGACATTTGTGTTTCCCTGGGGACTGACGTGTATGATGCACAGGCATGTCTTACCGCGTCATGAAAGCTTGAACGCTTTAGAGAGCTTTAGTCTGACCCCCAGCAAGAGTGTGTGAAATAAGGGGGTGTCTTTTCATCTCTGCCATGCCTCTATCATACTGCATCCGACCACAGACCTTTGTCATGGTAATGCTGTTAGTCTGCTGCACTGCTGGTTCTAGTCTGGGCCTGAGGGACTCGTTAGTTAGCAGCGTGAATGAGGACATCCCTGAGCAGCCCCCCACATATATACAGACCCTTCTACAATACACAGGAGAGAGACACACACCTGCTCCTTAACACAAACAACTGACACGTCACAACACAGTTTCCTCAAGAACACTAGGACAAGTGAGCTTCATATTGTTCCCTGGGAAAATGGTGAAAATGTTGAAAAACACCTTGTCTCACAATGTGAAAAAAGAGAACATTAATACCCGGATCCTTCCCTGATCTGGATCCACATAAAAGTTGAATGGGTTCTTCCATGATCCACACTGCATCCTTCCACCAAGCTCTGTGG